AAACATATCTCAGGAACAGGCTGCAAGATGAAGATTCAATATATGGGCCTTCTGTAGCAAAATGTCTATCATGATGCCATTGGGACATTTTTCTCCAAGCCATGGAAGATAAAGTGCATCAATGAATCATAGTGTTCATGATGTGCTAATGTTTGGCAAAAGGTCATATGTTACACAGCATTTGTATGCAATACATGCAGCTTATTAAGTCATCCTCTCCTTGTGATCACTTTGATTTAGGTCTAGGATAGACCGAACGAACAAAAATTTGAATGCAAATATAAATTGCAGACTGCCTGCTGCACTGTCTGGCCGAAGCCGAAAACACCAATATGTCATCCCGCGCGCCTTGTCTGGTTAGGGTTTCAATGCTTTGAGTGGAGTTATGGGGGTGGTTTTCAACCACACAGCTATGTATCCTTGTTAAGCAGCACTTGCAGTACCCACGCCTAATCATATCCATATCCAGATCCAAAGATTGTTCTAATGCATCGGTAAGTCTTGTTTGCAATCAGCTGCTGCATTATAATGCCCTAAGCTCACTCACTGTCTCTTGGGTAATTAAAGGAAACAAGCCCGGAGAGTGGGTGTGTAGTAAATAATGGTTCATTCCAACATCCTCCTCAAGCTCTTGATTTGTGTTGACGTGGGATCCCACAGCCTGTCTGGAGATTCTGCCCCCCCCCTCCCCCTCCTCAGCATATTGAGTGTCTCGCACCCCCCAACCCACACCCCTCCCTCCATCAAACTCTATGGGAAGCAAACTTTGAGATGATCTGTGTTTGCAAACTCTGCCATCTCTCTCTCGTATACTGAACCCCCCCCCCCCCCCTTCTGTGGCTGTTGCCATGGCAACTGTCCAGCAGATTCCAGCGTTGAGCAGGACAACAAGCCTCCCATCACTCCCCTGTCCCTCCCCCTGGAACTAGGCAGTAGCCTTGCGTGGCCTTGGACAGGGGCCGTTTTAGATGCCCAACAGTGTAATTGCTGGTGTGTTGGGACCCCATGGTCCGATCCAGTGGGCTGACAGGTGTAATTATGGACGGGAAGAAGGGATAATTTCTACTCAAGTCAAAGGTCCTGCCAGCCTTTTTACATTGTAGAAATGTCTTAACGATTACCTTTCTATTCACGTAGTAGTGGCATCGACAACAACAACCAGGCAGAATCAAAATTAGTAGTTTTCTATTGTGTTTTTATGTGTGGGTTTGTTTCTAATGGTGTGCTTATTCTCACTTTGAGGTTTTTTCCAAGTATATGAAACATTCTACGTTTTTATTAGCCTGGCAGTGTTTCTGTAGTAATCCATGGGTTTCTCTTATTACGCGCACACACACACACACACACACACACACACACACACACACACACACACACACACACACACACACACACACACACACACACACACACACACACACACACACACACACACACACACACACACACACACACACACACACACCATGTTCAGTCTTCTAAAACTGGTTGTTCCTGGAGCTTCCTGATAAGGGTGTTGAGAATGAATTACCCTCCATATTGTTGTGGTAAGCCCCCAGCATTAGCATGTGGCGCTATGTAACCACAGCTTCAAATGAAGCCAAAAGCTGCCCCCCCCACCCCGTCCGCAGTTGGTGACTGAACGTGTGATCTTCTGCCAGGAGTCCTGCCCTGTAACACAAGGCGCTAATTACTTTCCTTTGTGTTGTGGTTCCTGGGCTCTGGTGGATCGAAATCTGTCTCAAAATGCCATCCGACATGTCCTGAACAAATTGTTCTGTTCTGTCCAATGGCATGGAGTCCTGATAATAAACATACTGGGCAATAAGAAAAAAGAAAAAACTGCATTAATTAGAGGCGTCGGATTTTGTGAAGTAAGAAAACGTGTAACGTGTATATCCCTCGTTCTATTTTCTCTCTTCCCCCCCCCCCCCCCCCCCCCCCCCAGGTTAAGTGACGAGGTGCCGTCGGTGAGGCAGACAGCCGTGACGGTCCTAACTCAGCTGGTGCTCAAAGATGTCCTCAAGGTCAAAGGTCAGGTGGGTGAGGTGGCGGCGCTCCTCATCGACCCCGAACCACACATCGCCAGCCTGGCCCTAAACTTCTTCAATGAGCTCGCCTCCAAGGTGAGTTGATGATGGGCTCAGACCACCTTCTCCTCCCAAAAGGACACTTGGAGAAATCAGATGCATTCAGTTGTTTTTGTATCCCTCATCTCTTTTTCTAATGCTGCACAGGACAATGCAATCTACAACCTGCTGCCAGACATCATCAGCAGGCTGTCTGACCCAGAGAGGGGCATGACCGCTGAGGACTTCAATGTTATCATGAAGTAGGTTTAAGCAATAAGCCACGAGAGGCTGTGGTTTACACTGGCTAGGGGGCGTTGTTCGGCACGACGTCGAGCAGGTTGGCGGCGTGTTACGCCATCCTGCGTTAAGCTGTTACTAAAAGGCTATAGACTACCTAGTAAGATTTCACAAAATAAACACGCAGCAACATAAAATGCAATCATTTAGCTGAAGGTGCACAAAACAATTCCTACCGAACCACATGGCTGTTGTCAGAAGGCCTGTTGGATCACATCAGGATAGCTTCCTTAGTGTCCAAGTACTGTATCTGTGGAGGGACTGCATAAAGCATGTCTTCAGCATAAAGTTGGATAGATGAGTCTACAACAGAACAGGCCATGTCATGTATATATGTATATATGTATACAATGTAATTTATATATGTATAGAAAAAAGTGTGGGGCTTAGGATCGAGCCCTGGGGTACAACCTTGTTGACAGGGAGGGGCTGAGAGACATTGTTCGGATTTAACACATGGCACCCCTATTAGTAAGGTAGTTGGAGAACCACGCCAGTGAGTGATCGGAGACCCCAATGCTACCCAGCCTGTCAGCAACGATAGAATGATCAAGTGTCAAAAGCCTTAGCTGAATCAATCAAAATATTGGTTAGAATAATGTCATTGAGGAATTTGCAGTGACACAGCCATAACCAGATTGAACACCAGACAGAATATTATAGTTCCTCAAGACAGCATAATGGTTGCAAAGCAACACAGGCTACCATACAGGTGCATTTAATACTAAAAAAAATGTTTATGGAGTATTTTACAAGGGCTCGGTGCTCAATCAGAATTGGGTCAGTTTTATTGTTCTCCATCATGATGTTGGGCTCACTGTTTATATCCTCGACTGTTATCCACCCTGCAAAGACAGGCATTCCCCCCCCCCCCCCCCCCCCACCGAATTGTAATTTTTACAGTTTTGCGAAGACCTGAATAAACCAATGATTGTCTATTCCATGGGCTTTGTTTTTGATGTGATACTTTCATGTTTTCTTGTTTTCAGGCAGCTGTTCTCGTACATCACTAAAGAGAGGCAGACTGAATCGCTGGTGGAGAAGTTGTGTCAACGTTTTAGAACGGCCAAGTGAGTACAAGCAAACCATTTGCGTCATTTGGCCTGGTGTGGTCGAGTGGCCGACAAGTCTATGGGGCACTCTTTGTCCACCAGCACCAGTGCCTCAGCACGCTGCGTGTGTGTGGGACTTCCACTCTGGTTTGGAGGGGCTCATGCAAAGCACACAACAATGTCCAGGCCCAGTTTGAAGTGGTGCTGCTGCTTCTATTGCTAGCTCTCATATTCTCCGCTTTCTTCCCCCACGACCTGTCATAGCAAGCTCTCCTTCCACATCGGACACCGCAGAGGGCCTCGCGTTGCTTTCCCTGCTCTGACTCATTAATCCATACACTCCCATAGAAAGGACATTTCATATTACGCTATAGCAAAGTGAATCAAGACCTGCATGTATTCACAGCATAACGAGATTTGTCCCAAATGCCAGGTCAGAGCAGTCGCCCATAAATAACCACTCCTGCCTTTTGGAAGTCGCTCTTATATCCATCATGCGTTTACCTCGGTCTCTACGGTCACCTTGCCATTTCCTGACCTCTGACCACCCACCACCCCACCCCAGGACAGAGCGCCAGTGGTGCGACCTGGCTGTGTCGCTGTCCCTGCTGTCTATGTGTGAGCGAGGCCTCAAGAGGCTGCAGGAGTGCTGGGAGTGTTACTGCGACAAGCTGACAGAGCCCGGCGTCTACCAGCCCCTCCTCTCCATCACCGCCAAGCTCCGCCGTGGCGCCAAACCCCAGCTCAAGGTACCATCCTCTTGTGCAGTCTTGGAACTAATCTATAGTTTACCTACTCGACATTATGCAGCTTGTGTTTCATATTATCTGAACCACTGTATGCACATCATATTAATATTCTATTTCATATGCAGACTTGCCTTTTATGCTACTTAACATTTGTTTTGTATTTAGTTTCACTACTGTGTTTTTGTAGATGACCCCAACTTGACTCCCTCTTCCTATTTTTTTTTTAACATTAGTTTATTTTTTAAAGGACTTTTTTTTGATTTTCTCATACCACTAAGGCCCAGGTGGATGAGTTTGAGAAGAGGCTGACTGCTGTGCATACGCGGGGCTTGGAGAATGTTGAGAGCCCAGAGACTGAGGAAGGAGGCTCCACGGAGAAGACGCTGGCACACACTCCCCAGCCTGCCAGGGGGCGGGGCAGGTCCAAAAGAGGTGAGTCGCACTACAACCGTACACGCAACATCATTTTCATAGTCGATTAATCTATTTTTTTTTTAAAATCATTTAGTCTATAAGATGTCATCATTAATAGCAAATGTCATCACAAGTTACAAAGAGTCCAAAGTGAACTAAACTATTCCTTTTATAATGATCCATAAGCCAAACATTTGAATTGAACTGCAACATTAAGCAGCAACACTGCAAACTTGATAAATGACCATCTATTATCAAAATTAGATTCGATTCATTTTCTGTAGAACGACTAATCATTACAAGTCAAAAATAGTTGGCATGTTCATTGCTATTAAGCCATTTATCTAAAGGGACTTGCAGTGAATTCAGATGCATGTCATTATTGAGCATGTAGCGGTTGGGTGTCTTGCTCTGGGTGGCGTACACTGGGGATTGAACCCAGAACCTTCCAGCTGGGAGGTGGAATACGCTTGCCACTGCACTATATCCTGCCCCCATTGCATACATTAGTCATTTTCCCAATCTTTCCACAAAATATATATTATGTTTCTCTCTTCTCACAGGTCAATCCAAGCCGGCGGTTTTGAGTCACCTTGATGACAGCTTTGTAACGCCGAAACCCAGCCGCAAATCCAAGAAGCCTGCCATCACCTTCAGCAGTGATGAGGACGAGGAGGAGGATGAAGAGGGTGAGTGAAATTTGCCTCGCTTAAACGACAACTAGGATAATCCGTGAATGGTTTAAGAAATCGAATGCTTTTCTGTAAATTGCCCTATTTATCTTTTATAATGAAAGTTAATCTTTGTTCTGAGGCCAATATCCTGATCAGGTAGGAGCTGTTGAAGTGCAAGCTATTATTTGCTGATTTTAAAGTAGGGATGTTAACAACTCACATTTGTCATGGTCGAATAATCGGTGGGTGGTATGAGCGAATAATCGATTATTGGGGATTCACCGACGGGGTCGGAAATGTCTATTGTTGTTTCAGCCAATATCAATCAATGGCCTTAGTCTTTCATGATCTGAAAATGTGTAAGTGTGGCTCTCCGTCGGAGCGCACATCCATCTTCTCCTCTCGTCCCTCTTCCTCACGCATTCAATGACATGCCTAATTATCCACCACCAGCTTGAGTTTTTCCATTAAACCCAAAGCACATATTCCTTCATATTTGTAGTGCGACACAAACAAGAACCAGATTCATACTGAAATTCAAAAAACATTATTTTGCTTATGTTCTGATATGGCCGTGTGCGTTGGGCTTAACATTAAACCCCGTCTGAATCCGAGCCAGTGGAGACCACTGCTGCAGAATCGCGTTTTTATCAACTAGTTGTTTTTCCTTTTCATTTCCAAAGTGGTTCAATTCATTTAAAAAACATTGTTTTGTTGTATACATTTTTTTTTTAATAATGCAAAAAGCAAAACTACAAGATCACATAGGATTGCTGCGTGGACTTCAGTGGCTTTCAGATCCACTTATTGGTCTGAGTCCGACTCGGTTAGGTAACCTCAAAGTTTCAGAAGACCCATTGCTTCCATTATTAAAATGCATCTTTAGTAAAAGCATTAGCAGTGTTGGGACAGGCTTCTATTATTTTAGAAATTGTTAAAAAATGGCATAGATAACTGTTTAAGATCAAAGAAGAGTAACAAGTTAAAAAAGAAGTTGACCCAAACAATCGATGTTTGCCTTCATAAGCGAATAACCCTTATTCTATACCCCACACACCTGCACACTACTCCTCTTCCCCACCACCATGCACAGTCACTTTATGAACTATTTTTAAGAACTATTTTTAAAATATGTGCACTGATAGTTCTGTCTCATACTGTTTATACTGTCCATACTGTTTATACATACATGCATATCTATCTTTCTTTTTGTAAAAAAACCTTGTATATATTCTTTTTTAAATGTGTATTTTATATCTATTTTTAATATTTATATTTATATACGTGTTTATAGCTGTTTTGCACCAGGGATCGAGGGAAACGGCATTTCGGTTTTTGTGTATGTCCTGTACATTCATGAAAATTGACAATAAAGTTGACTTGACTTGACTAGAAGACACTGAATTAGGGATGGCGCACTGTACATTGTGTTCGCTACTTGACCTGTTGTGATTTCAAAGTACTAATATATTGTACTTTGTTTTCTACTAGATGCTGTGATGGCGGAGAGCGAGACCCCCAAAGTGACTACGCCTATTGCTCGCACGTCCCGTCGAACACGCCTCCGACACTGATTCTTTCCATTTTTCTGTTTCATCAATTCTTCGGAACCTCTTAATACAATTTTTTACTTTTTAACTATTTTATTGTATACTTGTGTATGCTTTTATCTCGTCCTTTTTTGTAAGCATTGTTGTAGAATGATGCAATTTTTAAATAAATGGTAGATTTAGACTTTGCTTGGCTCTCTTGCCTCCCAGTGTCCCCTGCTTGTGTCTGTGTGACGGCTGGAAGCTGCCTGTAGGTCATTGGAAGCAGATTTATACTCTCATTACCAGGAGCACTGAACTTCCATTCTAAAGTGCTTGGACAGTTGTGGTTTTATAGGCTGTCACAGCTTGCCTACTGTTCCCATCGCTCTCTTTATTTTACTTATTTCTTTCTTAACTCTTTCCCTGCTCTCATGCTTGTCATTTGACTTTTTTTCATCACTCATTTTCGAATGCGTTTTTCTTCCCGAGCTCTGCTGCATGGCGGTTGGTTTTCCATCAGTCTGAGTCTCGCATGCTGTTCACTGCCCTCCACTCAGCTCTGTAATCAGTTTTCTTTTGTTAACCCCCCACCACCACCACCACCACCTCAGCTTTTGCCTTGTGCACACCTCCCTCCCGCTCCCATTCTCTTCTCCACTGCCTACTTTCCTCCTACAGTTCTCTACTCGCTGTGATGACATCACATGTGTTGTAGCCCGCCTCCCCACCACCACCCCCACTTACTAATCTCTCGCCCACTCTCCCACACAGTCGCCTCTCCTAAAAGATGAGGGGTGAGCAATGTTTTTTTTCATTTTATGCAGAACCTCCTACATCTAATGCAGCAATGTGTTGCTTTATCAAAACTTAAGTTTGTTTATGTATTGAACAAGTAAATAACATTATTTTGAGGGATCAGTATTTAGGGAATACTGATATTGACTCTGGATGGTCTTTTTCTTTGCTACGGTTTCCTTCAATGCTTGAGGAGGGTATTAAACTATTCCATGCTGCGCATTAAGCCTGTTTTTAGAGGCCTGAATGTGCCGTTGTCATTATTTAACATAATTGTAAATATGGCAAAACATGTAATGTTTGCGTGCTAAACTTTGAGGCTTTGTGTGTGGGTGTGAGGCCCACCAGTGCCATGGCAGTTTGACTGCAGGGGGTAACGGGGAGCAGATGGCACCGACAGACTGTAACTTACCCAGCAGAGGAGAGCGCTCAACCCACAATGAAAGCCCATATAGACAAAAGAGGGAAAACCACACAGGGAAAAAAAGTGTCAAGGTGAATGAATGAAAAGCCGACTAGCAATGCAATGTTCAAGTTTACATGAATGTAATGGTGGAGCTGAGGGTATGAACCCAGTTCCACTGGCTCAATGTCTTGTGGCTTCCACATGTAACCGTCTTGAGTTTACAATCTGTATGACAAGATGGTCATAACAAACTGGTCGCTTGCGGCCAATTCCTTGCAAGAGGACACTTTGGTCCTACAGTAACGGTATGGGATTGGCATCCATCTTTGGATGTGTAGAATTCACGTTGCTCTGGTCACCTTGATAATGACAGTGGCTCTCTTCAAGGCTATGACATCATTCCAGTAAATAAATAAATTGGGGGGGGGGGGGGGGGGTGGAGTAAGTGTGGGGCTGCGGGGGGGACTCTGGCACAACTGTACCGCTGCAGAATCCCAAACGATACCCTAACATTCAACCTCTGCCAAGGGAACAAAGACACAAGACGCAATTTCATCCCTTCAATTCCCTCGCTGGGAGGTAGGGGGTGGGAGGGAGGGAGTTAGGAGGTGGGTGGGAGAGGGGTCGTGGGAGGCGGGGCCAGGCGGGCTAGATAGTGATGCTTTAAGCCTTAAGCAGGTGCCAACAAGTGAGTGGAGGAAGAGACACCGAGGGAACGGAGATGGAGAGGAGCTTATGACCGCAACAAGAGACTCAACCGGAACAGAACTGAGGTGAGGGGACTTAGTTTTACCTCGTCTTTTCAGTGCACATGCAAGTCAATGATATAGCTGGATGCAGTATGTGGTGTCAATTAAGGGACTAAAACTAAATTGTAACCTGCTAACTTCTATATATTTTTGAATGACATTATGCAGTGGTGTAAGTGTAGTGTAAATCGACTATTTTATAATGAGCACGAATCCTGCAGCATCGAAGCCGAAAACGAAAAGATCTCATTTTATTATGTTGTGTATAATGTTGGTATATTTTTATCTTTAACTTTAATTTTTGAATGAGCTCCCTAGTAGTTATTTTACTTTAGCATTTTAAAGTTAACATGCTTTTGAATAAAGAAGTTAAAAAAAGAATATGTATTCCTACTATTGTTTAAAAAAAAATAAAAACAAACATTGATGTGCATTTGTTATTCTGAATTGATAAAGATAATTCATTTTTGGATTCTTCATTTGTTTTACTTCCCCCATCGTGGTAAAACAATCACATCATACCCCGCATTTGTCACGCTGCTCCATCATAACATCCGTTTGTATTCATTCCCCATCCACCCCACCCACCACACCGGGGATGAGTGCAGCCAGTGTGCGTGAGGTCGTGTCCGGGCAATTGCAACCTCTCTTTGCTCCCCGCTAGTCACTCACTCGCTCGCGCATCTCCGCTGCTGCCATGCTGTACCCTGCACTGCTCTACGCCGCTCTGCTGCTGCTGGCGCCGCTGGGGAACACAGAGGCGCGCGCTCTGCAACCGTCCTCCGATGCCGTGCAGGTACAGACAGACAGACAGACAGACAGGGAGAGAGAGGGAAGGGGGTGGATGGATGGGATGGAACAAAAAAAAGGGGAAGAGTGGAGGAGACTAGAGATGGGGGGGGGGGGGGGGGGGGGGGATGGGCGGGTTGACAGCAGCAGAGTAGAAGAAGGAAAGGATGGAATAATGAAATGTATCCGTGATTGAGTTACCTGTTGAATTACCCGTCGTAGCTTTCAATTACATTTCCACATAGCTTTTTTTTTCCACTTGTAGTTCATGGAACAGTTTCTTGAGCGCTACAACGACCTCCTGACCTTGGATGACCTGGAGAACCTGTTGAGCAGCCGACCAGAAGAGTCTGCTGCTGCTGCTGCTGCTGCTGCTGCTGCTGCTGGGGTCAAAGCGGCAGAGAGCCCCAAATGGGCTGACCCACCGGCAGCCCAGGGCGAGACTCCCTGGCTCCGCCTCTTAAAGGGCGCCCTGGCCAATCAGAAGCGAGCGGAACCGGACAGGTCACGGAGGGGATGGAATCGGGGGTGCTTCGGTCTGAAA